AGATTTTAATGTTCTATTAATTATATTAGCTAACTGTCAGTTTTGTTAACTGATTATCAATTTTATTAGTTGACTGTTAGTTTTGTTAGTTGACTGTTAGTATCTGTTAGTATTCTGTTAATGAAACTAAAAAATAAAATAAAATTTAAAATTTATATTTTTTTATAATAAAATGTTAACATATGTTAATAGTTAATTAACAGAATTAATAGAATGTTATAATCTAATGTTAGGTGATGGTTATTTTCTTTAATTCGTATCGGTGATAGGCTAAAAATATCATAATATAAAGTAAATTGTTAAAACCTACCAATTTTGTAAGGTGAGGGGTTAAAACTTACAAATTTTATAAGATAAAAGGCTAAAACTGTCATGTTATAAAATGATGGGAATGATTGGTTAAAACCCATTAATTTTATAAAGTAGGGGGCTAAATGTTATTTTTGCCCGTTTTAAGAGTACAACTTTTGTCTGTACAAAAGATTATTTAAAGCTTCATTATTTTTTTTTAACAGAGAGCTTCACTATTTTTTTTATTAAGTTAATTAAATTATAATATATAATTAAGAAACAAAAATAAAATAAAAAATGATAACTAATACAGTTAATATGAAATATAATGATTAAAAATTATTATTTTATATAAATAAAAAAAGTACAACAAAGGAAAAAGAGTTTTAAATATAATTTGTATACAATTTGTTAATTATATTTTATTTTACCAAAAAATTTAAAAATATATATTTATAAAAAAATAAAAAATATTATATTGTTTAATTAAATTATTTTATAATCAAGTAGTTTAATAAACTTAAAAATTAAATCACAAACTAAACTAATTATATTAACTTAAAATTTTTTTAATTTAAACCAACTTAAATTAATATCAATTTAAATTAAATTTTAATTGAATTATAACAATTAAATAACCCCTTGTTATTATAACGGTTAAAATTTAATAGATAATAAATAAATAAATAATAAAAAGTAGATAATAATAAAAAATAAATCACAGATAGTAAATAACAAAAAATGAATAATAAATAATAAATAGTGAATTTGATTAATATAGTTATTTAATTATACAATAATTTATAATTATTATTTAAAATTAAATG